AATATTAAAATGTTCAAAATTATAAGTTTCACACATACAAATCTTAGTAACTTTACCATTGATGCCTCCCAGTTTAATAACACAACTCCAATCAGGAATTATGGATTATATTGATCTTGCCTTAATGTAAATTAAATGTCATCCAGAGAAGTAAGGTCAGTTCTCGGATCCATAAACCTGCAAACAAAAGAAAACTCCCAGAGCTAGGAATGCAATGAACTGAACAATGTTTGAGGGGCCTCGCCTTACTCGTAATAAGCTTCTATCGCAAGTACAATACTGATAATAAATAGATCGGTACTGAAGTTAACAAAGCAATTGAATGCGAAAGCTTATAACCCTAGGGGCAAAATAATGATCAATTATTACGCTAAACAGTTACGGAAGTTGATATTGATAACTACATTTAAACCTTGTTTTAATAAGTTAGATCTTCTCAAAGTAACTTCGGTAATTTGCGCTGTTGCCCCGTTCGCGCAAGTTGTACGTCAAAATTCACATCGTCATTCTAGGCAGCTTTGGAAAGTAACTTGGAGAAGTTCAGTCTATCTCTTTTAGTTTTCAAAATATCCACTATCGAAAACAACCAGTTTGGAATAGCCCTAACAGAGTTCTTTTAGGTTGAAAGTATCGATTGTCGCTATATTATCGAAGACGCTTGATGGTAGACAAGCTTGGTTATAAACGTAGGTAATTAAAAAGAGAACGTAGAAGAGCACGAAATAACGATAGAGTGAAAAGTTTCTGTTTAGAAGCAAAATAACATCTCAATTGTTCGTGAAAGTGGCTATTAGGTATAATAAGTAGGTACAGGGTGCCCCATTTTCGATACTTTTATATATCTCCATAATTGTTAGTGCCATAAAAAAAGTAACATACATAGGATGTTATGTTCTCTTGTTGTGTCAAACTTAAAATGGTAAAATCAAACTTTGCAAATTTTCACTCGCTTAAGACATACGGGGGGCAATAAAAAAATTACCAATTTCAGAATGACTATATTTTTTTAGTCAAAATATCTACAGACAAATGTTTATTACACATGTTTCTTAATAATGATTGTTGAATAATCAAAATATGTAAGTATACGAGATCAGGTAAAAAAGTGATTGGACATAACCTAATTATTTGTAATAGAAAAATGTGTATATTTTATTCTAAAAAGATAGCACATTAAATTCTCTTTCCAAAAATATAATTAAATTAAAAAAATTCAATATTGGTTCAAAACGATTCACAACAAAAAAAATTAAAAAATATGATTTTTTTGTATATTTAAATCATTTGAACCTTTCTTAAATTGTTTTAGTTATTTTTTAATCTTTTTTGAATTTTGTTTAAATCACTTGTATTTTTTTAATATCGTCCCTAGTATTTTATTTTTTTAAAGAATTTATGTTCAATCTATTTTATTTGGGGTAGATATTTTATAATTTGGATTGGCGTTTTTATAATAAAATTTTTCACGGTCTACTAATTACTGAGAGGCTTTGAAAATGGATAAACACTGAATGGGGGTTTACAGTATAGTTGAATTCCGCAGTTCTAATTTAATAAGCGTGTACCTGAAACCATAAAACATTTTTTTGGACAGTAAAAGTTTATTTAAAAATAGAGGCTGATTAGCAAAAAAATAATGAACATGTGCGGTTTTAAAGGTTTATTCAAAACGATATGATTGTGGCGGGCTCTGTGACGTAATAAGCCCGACCAATCAGCTCCTAGAACCATTCAGATGACATAACGACTTGGCAATATTGCAGGAGAATGGCATTTATAACTTGCGTCATCTGTCACAGGCACTTGTCACTTTCGTGCTAGATGCAGTTAAACATCCCTCTCAAAACGTCAAATGTGACAAACGTCAGACCCTCGCGTAAGGTTGCCAGCTCACTTCTACGTGATTGGTTGTAGGTTTGTGACGTATTTAGTCTGAAGCGTTTCAAATTCGGACTAAAAACACAGCGTTTCAATAATTTATTTTGGGTTTATTTTACTCGCAAATAAAAATTTAGGACACACGGGTCTTTTTATTTTTAATGTACTTTGTGGATCAAAAATAAAAAATAAAGGCGGGATGACCCCATTATTAGAGATTGCAAAAAATATGTACAAGATAAATACGACATGCTTATATCGCTAGAAAGGTAATCAAATCCTGCATTTGATGCAACAAAAAAAACTGGGTAGTTCCATTAAAAAAACCTTTGATTGAAATTTTAAAAATTAAAAGTTGAACTTTGAGCGATCGGCGTATTAATGGGATTGAACCTATTTATTGGATTTAAAGGTATTTCTTAAATATATTATTTAATACGCGGGTACACCAATGTAAGGAGTGTATCACCTCTCGTAAAATATATCTTCGACTTTTTTAACTGCCATTGTTTTTATTTTGGCTGTTTTAGTTTAACACAGCTGTTAAATTTTACATTTTTCTCCTAACGTTTCAGTTTATTGCCAGTGGTCGAAGTGGCAAATATTTTTTACCGGTATGGCTGAACTGATAAAATCTTAGTATTGTATGTATGCGTATATTATCATGAAAAAACTTTATCCGTTATGCCTATGTGGATAAATTTATTACCGGTATGTTTCACAAAAACCAAAAATCTATCGGTATGCCATACCGCCGCATACCGCCTCACTTCGACCACTGTTTATTGCACAAGTATTTGATCTGTTATTGGAAGTATTTTCTGTTGATCAATAAACTATTATTACTATTGTTATTATAAATAAGATTTGCTAGTAACTCTAAAATATAAAAATCGTTTAGACAAATAATAAAGCCCGCTTGACATGGAGCAATAAAAATTGCAATTGCATGCAAGTTGCAAGAAAAATTGCGAAAGGCATGCGCAGTTCAAAGCCAGCTGATCAATTGCTGCAAGAGACTTGCATGCAATTTTTATAGGACCGGTGCTATTTTTCTTGCATGAATCGTGCAATTCTAGGGATAAATCTAGTTGTTTTTGTCTCACCAACCTAGTAAAATACAGCGGCGGCAACTATGATGCTGAGAGACGCACTCATTATTTGTTTTTATTAATCTTATTTATTCTTGTAATTTTCATGTTTCTTCAAGCAATCAAAATTTAATTTTTATTGGAGGTTAGCAACTTTGTTGACAAGTCCATATTTTTCTTCTGTTGGCAGACATGTGGCAATTGAAATAAAATTGCACCATGTCAAATACCATGCAATGCTTATTGCATGCAAGGATTTGACCTTGCAATTTCTTTCTGCAAGTTCTTGCACGTTGTATTGCTCCATGTCAAGCGGCCTTTATGGATGCGTTTTTATAAACATTTCCATAAGATATATAGCTGACTAGCTGAGAATGGTAAAATTTGGAGATCTGATGATTATAAAATTTTACTGTAAAATGCTAAAATGTGTCATTATTGGGACTTTTTATTTTAGAACATTCTGAGCATTTGTCGATTTAATAAATTATATTATAGTATCCATCGACTCATATTTTCCAATATTACAAAAGCAACACATGTTACATAAATGGTCTCAATATATTTTGAAATATAAGTTAGACAGGAGCACGGAAGTGTACTTCCGCGTGTGGGTGTAGGGATCAATGTTTAGCTGCATGGCTGCACCCTAATTCTAAGAAAGGAAGCAGGACTTCATTAAGAAGTGTAGGTCTACGTTATTTATAGCACGAACTTACAGAGACACAAAATCACGAAAGACACATGAAAATAATCATATTGTAATTTCATGTTGTTTCAGCGGATTCATGAATAACGTATTGTTCTATTGTTCTTGGCCTTTCTTCCAAAGCCAGCCGGCACTATGGAACAGCGAACACGGAATGAGATTAAATTTAACTATGGTCTATGTGAGAATATCCACGTACCTCTACATGTTTTTATCTTAAGGACCGATTTGAAGAAATATTGTCGTGGGAAAATTTTAAAGCGATGTCAATATTGGGACTTAAAGAGGAACTACCGCAAAAGCGTTTGTTTTCATTACCATCGATTGGGATTTGGGAATATCCAACCAAAGCGGACGGCGCGTAACGCCAATGTAGTGGGGGCGAGATGGGGGACGTCGTCGCGCCGAGCCGATTCATGTAAAGGAAAGATGCCAAGGCTGTAATCATTAGTTCGTTTATAATCCAGACGTTCGTTTGCTTGTATTGCGGGTTGAAGTTTAATTACTTACTTACTTACGTTAAATTTTTGTTTGTGTATACCATTATCAAGGACGTTTTCTTAATTAATTGGTAAGCGGTCTATTAATGTGTTACGTAAATTTTCGAAAGTCTCCTGCCTAAATTTTGCGGCTCGATTTGTACCTAATTTGCAAAATTGGTCTAATTTGGCTCAAGTTTTAGCTTCCAGCTGGAAGTACTTGCTACCTACTTGGAAGTTTTAATTTTTGGCAGAAAACATGAACATGATTTCTGGTAAGGAGTAAATTGGTGGAATTTGTCAAAAGGTGTTGGGAATGTGTGCATGCCAAACTGTTCTTTGTTTTTAATGTATTTGGCCCCCTCTTGTAGTCTTTCCACTTCTCGTCGATTATTTTTCACTCTGCGTTGCAAAATATTTGTTTATGCCGATGTGGTAATCAATACGAACCGCTCGCCCACGAATAATTGGAAGTAAACATAAACATGACAAATTCTTGGGTAGGACAAATAGCTTCTTATAATTGCTTTGACGTCACGAAAGTAATTTATGCAAGCTTTTCAGTAACATTTCCGGTGTAAAAACTTTAATAGCTTTCGGTACACGACGTAGTGCACTTTTCTATTAAATTTCTAAAATTTAATGTGGGTCAAATGAATGGAAAGCAGTGAAAGTTAGTTTCCCCCAGTATTGAGGGGATTTAAATACATTTATTGATTTTTGATATGCGCTGTTGTGAAATTTAAATCCTACTCACAAGGTACGTATACGTGATCATTCTTATCTATGACGCAATTCCATTTTCATTCATTAGAAAATAACCTTCGGGTAGATTTTTTAGTAAATTGTAATTGTAACGCCAAGTACTTACCCCCTACTTTCGTAATTGTTCGTCTAAGCAGAGATAGCGTACGATAAGGTAATGGAATCGTAGATTAGTCGAGTGGGAATTTTACAATTTGGTATTAAAGCGAATTACTAAGAAAAAAATTACATTCCTTCGTAGAGGTCAGGTTTCCGTGGCGATTGTTAAATATGTTTGCGCCCGCCCAGTTAGGCTAGATGAATGTGGCAACAGCGGTGGCGCTGACGTCCGTGCAGTCGTAGCATACACAGAAAGCTACGCGGCCCCCTTTTGCTCGTGTTTTCCTTTTTAAAAATGGTGAATAGTGCTTAAATTTGCTACATTCTCCACTTATCTAAGGTCAGTAAATTATCTGTTTAAATTTATCGGGAAGCTTTACACTGATTTAGTTCCTCGTACGAATTGCCAGACCATATGTCATATTAAAGTCTGTCTCGCCTGGGATGGCGCTTAGCTTGTAACCGTTATCTGTTTGCATTTTTAAACTTTGGTGCCTTTTCTAATGAAATTTGTGCAAATGTAGGTGATGCAAAGCTATTAGCCGGGATTATCTTGGAATGCAAGCCTATCCTATATCGTCCTTTTTTCTCGTTTCCGGCGTTCGGTCATTGATGTGTTCACGTCGGAATGTGGTAGGGCTGGATCTTAGGGAACTTGAGAGGTTCGGGGAATGGTACAGAAAGGAATGCTGGAAATAGTGAATGATTTCAGAATTCTAAGCGCTGTTGCCGTCCCACTTCCACATTTTAATACCGTGAGAAAATGCTCAAGAATGTTATTGCATTAGTAAGGTCTAAGTAGAGAACGTCCACTTAATGAACGTCTACTGTTTATTTTTAATATTGAAATAATTATCACAGTTGTATTAGGAAACGTTAGTCATTTTGTTATCGTAAAACTTTGGCCGTCTGATTTATATAAAAAATTCAAGATTGGCAAATTTCCGGTCGAATTGCTCTTTACTTGGCAATTTATTAACCGTTAAATCTATTTATCGACCCAGTAAACTGTTAATTCTGGCCCCTGACGGACGAATTCTGCAATCAATTTTGTAGATTTCTTTATGTATAACATTTGCAATAGATACCTAGGTAATGCCGGAAAGATCATGATTTAAAACACAAAATTCCAGATTTAAAACAATCTGTAAAACTGGCCATACTGGTGAATTAAAATTGGTTATGCACAACTAAAGATATTTCAACTGAAATAGGCTCTATTAATTGTGTAAACATTTTAAGAATCGTATGTGTTGGTTTCCTATGTAATAATGGATTCGTTGTTGGCACCCTTGATTTTATTTTGTTGTTGTTGAAGCTCTGTGGACACAGCCTTCGAGTGCAATCCAAAAAACCTATAAATAGATCCACCCCTGAATTTAATCCCAATAAAGTGCAAATTGTGTCTGGGAGTACATTTTGGTAGTTTTTCTCAGTCTAGCTCTAGCTAGATGTAGGGTTAAAATCAAATAAACTAATTTTGATTTGAAGTATCACGGTTTTAAATCAACAAAAGACCTAAAATTCCTTGCACAAGCACAATGAAACCTATGCCAACCATCAATGCCGAATTTATACAGAGTATGTTCATAAATTCCACCCTCTAAAAAAGTTGCTGCTGGAACACCTCAAATATTCATCGAAGGGGCACCAAACACTTTTCCTGTCCTTAGATGGTGCAGGGATTATCCTCATTGGCCTGAGAATTTATCATTAACTCATTTGAGAGCATATTCTTTGATCAGATCTAACTTTAGTTTTGGTTTCCATTTCTTTGGTTGTATGAAAAATGAGATTATTGTAGATCATAAATAAGTCGGAACTTCAGTTGTTTTGTTATGTCATTTGTTCAATTAACGCATAAGTTAAATATGAATATGGATATGAAAATGCAAGTTAAACTTAAGCAACTGTTCAAATTACCATCCATTTTTGACGAATATTTGAATACAATTCACATACTTAATTTAAAGATCATGATTTTTAGAAATATTCAAAAACCAATAATTTTGAAAAATTCAAAACTGTTCTTTAGTATCGTAATCGTCCGTCATTAATGATTCCTACACAATATTAAATTGAATTTTTACTTTACGAATAAGAAAATTTAATTTTGAAAATCATTGTACTGCAAGAAAATTGGTATTACTGTATTGCAAGAACAATAATGACACCATACAAAATAATAAGTGATTAGATAAATAATAAAAATTAAAAAAACAATGTACGGTAACTTATCCATTCAGTTGGTAGAGAACTCCGCTTGTATTTTTAATGACCCAATAGAATTTAGATTTTAGTAATGAGTACAACCGGGCGGCTGTATAATTAACATTGATTTTTTGCAAAATTAGTACCGTTTGATTGAACCTCCACTCCACACAATCTTTTTGCAAAATTCTTGAATCTGAAAGAAGCGAAGATTTGTAGTGAAGTGTTGAAAATTGAAGAAACGAAACGAATGAGTTTCGTTATTCATCTACTCTTTATCTTTTTCTTTTCCTAGTTCACATATCAAAATTGATTATGTAAATATTTTTTTAACAGGAGCGTGATATGCTAGTACCCTCAATTGTACCTACCTATAACAACCATCGTCAAACTGTACAGAAGGGTTGGATGTTTGAATTAGAGTGGCGCATTTAGGAGTCAGGAAACCAAACCTATGAAGACCCTAATCATTTTCATCACTGTACACCATAATAATTTACATATCAACTTAAAGGGAACTTAACAGTTAACAACGTTTACTTTTAAATCTCCACACAAAAAAAACTAAGGCCCACAACGTGAGTAAATCTTAATTTTTGCCACATCAAGTTTTCAACTTGATCAGTTGGCTTGCACTACTTTTGATTTTTATTTTCAGCTCGCGGCTTGCAAAAACATTTCGCATGCTCAATTTTTGATTTATTTTTAAAATAGAGCTGTACGCAATGTTGCTTGAAGACAAATCAGGAATCAAAATTTTCACTGGCGCTTATCAAATCATTTCCTTATCGACGAGCAAAATAGGCATGTATCTCTCATCCCTTGGAGCATTTAAAAAAAAATTCACGCGTGTTGTTTTTGGCTTTACGACACAATTCATCAGGACCAATCACGTAAGTATTAAACTGAAGCTAAATACAACCGTTTTTATTTTTGAAATCTTTCGTAAGTGAATATGTAAAGCGGATTCTTCTACATCTCTTCAATTTTGTACTTTCAATGCTGAAGTTGCATGCGTCAACCTCAGATGTCTTCAGTGGTATAGTATCGAAGTTTTTCTCTGTTCAGTCTTATTTTTCTAAAATGTTTATCAAACAAGATGAGGGTAGTGGTTGCAGGATAATTCCACAATCTTTCTTGTCACGACATGAGTTATCCTCCTTCCTATGGCTTTTCCAAAGGGATTTTCAAGTTAATAAGACTGATGGAAGCTTTCACTGGTTCAGTTTATTGGACCCTTTTGATCAACATCTTGTCATATTAAGTTAATATGTGTGCTTTTGTTTCTTACACTTGACATGGTATATGGGTATATTTTTTCGTCTCAATATTTATAATTTCATTTTTATATTCGAGCAATCGCTAATAAATTTTATTTTTTATTTACAGGTCTTTTCCTTGTTACTTACATACCAAAAAATGGGAACCGTAGTTCCACACGCACCAGAGCTCAACTTGTTTGTTACTAGATATGAGGAACCTGATAATGGTCACATTTCAATGCACAGAGAATTAGATAGATTAAAAACGTACCAGAATTGGCCATGTAAATTTATGGAACCTAAAAGTTTGGCGAAAGCCGGCTTTTATTACGTAAACAAGGACGATATTGTACGGTGTGCGTTTTGTAACATAGAAATTGGTCAATGGCAGCGTGGTGACAATGCGATGATCGATCATCAGAAGTGGTCAGATGATTGTCCGTTCGTGTTAGGATACAGTTGCGGTAATGTTCCAATAGATACTAATGACGTACCGATGTCTTCGTCCTCCGGGCATGATACGTGTGGAAAATATGGAATTGAAATTAGGCCCAACTCGTTTCCGGAGAGGGATGCGGTACCGCACACAAGTACAAGCTTAGATTTATCGAAATTGGGGGTTCAGCCTAGTCGGGGTCCCGCTTATCCAGGGTAAGCCAAATATGCTTTACGAATTACTGTACTCATCTATTGCGTTTACAGGTATGCTACTTATGATGCTAGATTGACATCGTTTTCGGAATGGCCTCGTTCCATGAAACAAAAACCGGACGAATTAGCGGCTGCCGGATTCTTTTACAACGGTAAAGGGGATCAGACGATTTGTTATCACTGTGGAGGCGGTTTAAAAGATTGGGAAGATGACGATAAGCCTTGGGAACAACATGCCAAATGGTTTCAGAAATGTAATTTCGTTCGGCTACAAAAAGGTCAAGAGTACATATCCGAAGTGTGCAGCAAGCAGGAGGCCGTTCTTACTTCAGAGGATGCTGCATGTCTTCAAGTGCCACATACAAATAATTTAAATATAACTCCAGTTCAAAAACCAAATAGTGCATCGTCATCGTCCCTCTCTACAGAAATTAAAACCAAAGAACTTGTTGCTTCTGAAGATATGTCAAACACAAATACAATGTGCAAAATTTGTTACTCTAAAGAAGTGGGTGTAGTGTTCTTACCCTGTGGACATATAGTTGCGTGTGTTGACTGTGCTCCAGCTCTTACTTCGTGCGCCGTTTGCCGTAAACCTTTAGAAGCAATTGTTAGAGCGTTCCTATCATAGACTAGTATTATGACTATTTTTTGAATCGGTTGCGTTTTTAGGATTAGAAAACAACATCCGTTTCTAGTCACAATTACGTTTTTGTCTTTCACAACAATAAATTTTATCAAGCAAGAAAACTTCAGGTTAACTCATATCTGTCTTTCATCGCACATTACAATCTGCTCTAATATCTAAGCATAATTTTTCATACTGAAAAACTTTCTACTATTTTGGTCTCGGTGAGATAATAGAGTGGGTTGTGTGTTGTAATAATCCTCAAATTAATGTATATCCATGAATACTGGACCAAATGATAACAATAAATTGAACATCCATCCATCTAGATCTGATTTCCCTTTTATCCCAAGTGTGTCAAATTGAATTCTATTTTTGTAACTTATTTAGTTTTTCCGACTACATATTTGCCTTTATTATTTAGAAGACCGTATTGGAATCATCAGGACTAGGTTTAGTTTGCTAGTCTGTGTCAAATTCTAAAGTACAAAAATTATTTTTATTTTACGTTGTAGTACATGTTTTTACCTATCAGAACGTGTGACATTAGTTTCGTATTATTAAACGAATACGCTTTTAGTTTTGCTAAGTGTTTAGTATATGTACCTTTAGTAGCTTAATTACAAAACCAAGGGGTTATGCACTTCCAGCTCAAAAGTGACAAAATCTGCAACTTGGTTGCTAATTTTGTTAACTTCCCGAGTTACGCTTATTAATATTAAATACAGTTCACGACTGCAATATCACTACAAATGGAATATTGATTTGTTCAACTTCTACAATATTAATAATCCTTTGATCAGGACTTAAGATAGTACCTCGAGTTTCTGTGTGCATGTGTTTATTAAGCATAAATGAATCCATCAGCAATCTGACCAGAAATGTGTTTGTTCTAAACCTTTTTTCCCCCTTAGATGCCAATTATTGTACCTTAATTCACACTAAGCAAAATATCAATATTTGTATTCCTTCTGCCTACATGTCCAACTACACTTTTGTGTTTCAAAGCTATTTAGATGTTTCCTTCATGAATTTATGGTAGATGTGTTAGATTTATGTATTTATTATTATTGTTAATAAACTATTAAACTTTTCAAATCCCTTTTTGTCAAAAGGGAACATTTATTTATAATTGCCTTTGCCTTCTCAACCTCTTCCTTCCATTGGGCAGGGATGGGGAAATAGCGCCCAATCCGGCTCGCGATATGGTTCCATCTGGCCAGTCATCTATATATTCACAGAAACAAATTTATGAACAGGACGACTGAGGAACATTTTGAGAGAGTTTTGCGAATTTCCTCCACTAATCGGAGCCAAATTTCGACGCTATAAGTAATGTACAGTGAAAATCTCATTTGTCACATTAACCCAGGACATCAAAACATTTTTTTTGTCCAGCTGATTTTTTGTTACTTATAATAAATCCTCTGTTGTGTTTGCAGTGATCATATGAATATGTAGATCTATAAATGGTTTTTTCCCCATAAACTATAAAGAATAGAAAAAAATTGCCAAGCATATTTTATTTCTACTTTTATGGATTTTATATGTTCCTGCAGTTTTTCTTTGTACTGCCTTCTTGGGTTTTAGAGCAGTCCTCATGTTGGTACTGACTCCTCAGGAGGTTATATTGAAATGATCCACAGTTGGGGCATTTGTGTACATCACTGTATATAATAGTAGCACACACACCATTTATACTCTTGTCTGTGCTAGTAGGTAGGTATAAAGTCTGACTATTGACTGTTTGATTTACAGTGACCCAATTTAGAACAGTGGCGTATCTCGTTTTTGATTGGTCGTTGGGCCCGGTCGCCATATTGGAGCTAAATTCCAAACTGGCCAATAGAAAACTTCTAAAACGACGCGGTACACTCCGTGCTATAATTGTACCCATAGTACCCCTATTGAATTTTGTTTGGAATTGTATCTGACAACAATAATGTTTGTTTCGGCCTCTCTATCACGCATTTTTTACATAATTATTTAGGTGGGTACCAAAAAGGAGCTTGCGAAACGGATGCGCGAGCAAGTATATAGGGTGTAGCATCTGACCTGCAGTCGAGGCACCTCTAAAAAACATTATTATGCGGGTCACTCTGTAATTGGGCGCAAGGGCCCACAACAAGAGAGGGGTAATAAATAAATAAATAAGGCCCCTCGAATCATATACTTAATTCTTTTACAATAAAAGATATCGAAAAAAATGTAGGAGCAAAATTATGCACAATTAACATCGTCATGTTTTAAAATATTTTTGGTTACCAGTTGTGTATCAAACTTATTTCTTTCTAAATGCCGCACCCTATATTTTATTGAAGAATTAGAAAGCACTTGAAGAATACCTAAACTAAATCACGCCGCGGCGGTTCAGTTCTGAATTGAGTCACAGACTACGGCCTCTTCCCTTTCATATAATTTTGTTAAGTCTTTCGAAAAAAGACATTTTTTTCATTTGTTTGTATGGCGGTGCTAATATCTCAGATATTAAAAAAGAGTTTTTGACTGTCTTACATCTTTTATGCCTAATGTGGACTACCAAAATTTTAACAAAATAAAATAACTGTTTTGCCGAAATATTTCATTTTTTTTTCTTTAACACTTTTCTCAGTTTTTTATTGTCATAAAACCTGACAGAAGGTGTTTAGACGAACTTAATAAAAACAAGTTATTTAAAAAAAGTTCGATGCCGTTATTTCAAAAATCCGACCCGAGCATACGCAATTATGGGAAAAAACGAATTAATTCATTTTCGGTTGCATTTCTCATTATTTCATCAAAAGTTTGGAAATAAATGCAATTACCAAAATGTAAGCCATGACAATTTTTTATGAAATGAGTCGCACGGAAAAGGTATAGTTTGTACAAACAAATTTATTTCGATGAGACCTTTCATTAGGCTAGCATGAAGGGTAGAACATGTGTACCCCCCCCCCTCATTTTCTAAAGTTTAACTTTTCACCATTAAAGGCATGCGTTATGCGTATGCAAAATCTGAGACCGCAATTGGTTGTCGTATGTAAAAGTTATGCACGTTTTACTTTTAAAAACAGCATCTCAGAAAATAAATTCGTGGGGGGGGGGGGGCCTTTTAGACAGCGAAATTTGATGGCCGCCTGGCACACCTTCAAGGTATAGGCCACCTACCGCAAAAAATTCCAGAACTCTAGGACCATTCCCCTAGAATTGTAAGGCTCTACAAAGAGCTCTATAGAGCCTTATTAGAAGTAGTTCGAAACGGCAGAAGTGGGTCCGGACGGACAAAACGCAAACAATAGCACATTTTTTTTTAATTCTTAAAAAATGCGCTAAAAATTTAAATCGTCATTTGTTAAAGCAATTGCTGAAAAATTGTACTAGTGCGCTAGAAATTGAATGATAAATTGTGATCTCTATTGTAATTATCAAAAGTGTTCAAGCTGATTCAAGACAGCTTGGAGTTCCGCCCTTTCGGATAGGGTAGGATTAAGGGATTATATTTTGAAGTCAAAAACGGCAGGAAAAACTCAATTCACTTTCAATTTAGTACAGCTTCACTCAAAAGCCTGTAAAAAATGTTTACATTACAAACCGCTGCCACCTATACACACCATTTGTAAATTACACCAGCGCCTCTTAAGTGTTTATCTGAATCGCGAATAGCCAGACCATACGTGTGTACACTGTACAGTGGCACCACGCTCAGAAAGTCCCTGACAGGGCGTGTCCGAGGGCGCTAGAAATTTAGACCGTACATACTGATGCAAAATTTAAAAACACTTTAAGGGAATTATATACCGTATCAGATCGTAGATCCAAGCTATATGCGTCTTGAAAAAGACGAGTTTGTATAAAACTGGAGACGGAAAACGTAAAATAAAGCAAAAACAAGAAGCAAAGTGTAAACTAAAATAACGTAAAGCGTCAATTGTCAAATCGGAAAAATTAATAATTATGGCACGGAATGTGTGGCGTCATTTTGCAGACTTTCTATTGGCCAGCCTGAATTATTTCAAAATTAGTTCGCATATTTTCCGAGGTTTTTCTGAGCATGGTGGCACTGTATAATCAATGGCCAGAATCTTGGGAATTTATTGGCTGGAGCTTTAGCCACGGCCGTGGTCGTGTCGTGTCGTGTCGTGATGTTAATTTATCCACTGTACTAATCATCAACAAAACGGTAAACAAAATTGCTAGCCTTGATTTTCGAATTTTGAATAAAAGAAAAATGTGCATTTTTGTCTGAACTTGTCTGTAGTACCTACTAAGAAAAAAGCAAAGGATTGTGTTGTAATTACTAAGCATTAGCAATGCAACGCAACAAAATTTCAAGTAATCCCGCGTATTCTTGTGATAATTGGTCGGATTCAAACTGTAGCTCTTGTTCAGATTCGGAAAGGTGATTTCTAAATTAGTTGTGTGTCACCTTTTATATATCAATTTTTAGCTCTATTCCCGAATGGGAGTCTTGTGTTAATCCAAGTGGCGAGTTACTTTTCATTGAATGTGATCCTGTGGTTTCATACTCGAGTAACCGTTTAGATGCAGAAAACAACGATTTCTCAACAAAAAATGAGTTAAGGCACAGTACAAGGACAAAATTTTTGAAAATACTTAGGCGTAGAGACAGTAAACGGAGAAGTAAAAGAACTGTAAAGAATTCTGATCTAATTTCCACTCAAGATACAACAAAAGTGAAATTTCAAGATAATGAGGATGGAGAAATTCGTGAGGTTACTGTGAAGATTAACCAAGAAAGGAAGGCAAGTGGTAAAGAAGCTTCAATTGAACATCTATTGGGCATTACAGTTAGTACATTATCTGATGGCAACCGTGTGATGGTAGCCGGTTTTGCACCTGATGCTGAAGCTGCAAAGCAAAAGAGTATTAAAATTGGAGATTGGCTTAAATGTATTGATGACTTTGAGATCAGTTTTCATAATTTGAATGAGGTTTTGCAGCAGTTTACCACTAAGAATCAGGTGGTATTAAAACTACAACGTGTAGCAGGTGTTGATGTTACAAAGAATCCTCCTATTAATGAATTAAGTAATCAATCAAACTTTGTTCATGAACTACTTAATGTTAATTCCGAGGATGACTTATCTCTAAGTGAAATGCTGTGTGAATATCCCATTGGAATTGTTTATATCAATACAGATAATTTAAGTGAATCTGGCCCCGAGTTTGAAGGCATTGTGTACGGTTATCCACACCCCTATGAAAAGAATTGGTTGTGTAACTGTAGGGGTGTCTTTATCACCTTGAATCATCTATTACACGATTTAACACATTCTTCAGTACACACTAGTTCAATGCTATGCAATAACAAATTAACTCACATAGGGTATAAAAGGTTTGGCAGTAAGTTGTTCTTATTAATGCTTCCTGATAATTGTGCAAACATAAAGGAGATATGCCTGATTAGAGATGAGTTACTACGGATGTTAGAATTTATGTTTCAAAGTATAGATCACTGTTTTGAAGCTGGAGAGTTTCGAAACCAACTGGACCACTTTTTTGCACGTTTCTTTGTGAGAGTATTGGCTGGCGACTGGCATAAGATGAACCAAAAGGACACGTTGCTCAATTTAAATGATTCGAACGAGTGTTCCGTTTTCAAATTTGAAAGTGTGTTACCAGTTGCGGCACACTTGCCATTACCTGAAGAAGCACAGTTACAAATTGACGATGCGCTTACGGAGTTGGAAGCAAGCGATTATCGCGAATGGGTAATGTAATTTGCATTTTTGATCTACACCTACATTGTAATTATGCTTCTAGAATGAAGATCCACTTGACTGTCGACGTCTGTTCACTATAATTGGTAGTGCATTGTACCACTCGGGGCATTTATTAAGTTCTCATTTTGTTCATGGGGATTTAATTGATGTTCATATGTTTTGCAGACAACAAGGTTTATTTCATTTGTCACGGACTGAACCTGTACGTTCTTTGGTGCTGTGGCGTGAAGTATATCCAGTTTCATGTAATCCTGGAGTACCATCTGAAGTAAACTTTATACCAGAAGGCAGAAGATATCTCCTGGTTGTGGGTAGTGGGAAAGTAAGTAAGACATTTAAAATGTAGGCTTTACTTGATTGTTTAGTTTGTCAATACAAGAAAGGTGCATGAATATGACCATGAAGTTTTTTGCATTGTCTTTTATTTGCCAGGATTTTCTTGGTATGTAAATACAGGGTTGGTGTAGGCGCCATACCGTTGGGTGAACAATTATGTCTTTAAAGTCAATGAGGGTAGGTAAGGACAAAATCCACTACCCATGGCTTCTCTATCATTAGATCAGTTGTAAAAATAAATGGATCTTTTCCTTCTACTTCAATAAGGCCCGATTGTATAATGGCAGTTTAAACTTCAGTTTATAGTTGAATTGTGGGTTAAAGGATTTGATTGGCTAATATGTCACACGTTGACCAATCGTATTCCTGAAATCCGTCAGTTAAACCAACCTGAAGTTTAACCTGACATTGTACAACCGGGCCTTAGAGTCAGGAAAATGGCACATTACTGGTGAGGAAATATTAAAATACGAGAAAACAGAGTTTTTTCTGAGTCAAGAAGTGTCGTTTTTAGCATATTTTCCTCAAAGTGAAAAATCGCTATTGGCTGCACTTTGACGTCCGTCCGTCTGTCTGTCTGTCTGTCATCTAGAGATGGTTTCATTTTTAAATCTTTATTATCATCAAACCATTGAAATTAAATGATTATTTCTTAGGATCTATTGGCGGTGATCATGGAAGCTGGCGGTTGCACAGAGCCTGCAGAGGACAACATGGGACCTGATGCATTTTATGTCGAAGAAGTCCAAGCGACCTTAGCCCATTTACAGGACATTGGTATTTCAAACCTTGCAAGCCGGTGGATAAATGAAAATTTCGGATCTCATGTAATCGCACCCGAGTTTCCAATTAAACGCAAGACCGATTTCTTAAGTAACATTTCATTTGTCAAATCAAACTTGTCGAGTTCACCGAAGGATATTGGAACACAAGTTCAGAAAAAGCCAGAAATTACGTCGATATTAAAACGCCGCAGTTCTGATCATGGTCCATTGTTTTCTTCGAGTTTAGCATCTCTCGTTGATGATAATGTCGAAATTCAATCTGAGGATTCTTCTAGCCAAGGCGGTTATAGTGATAAAGGAGATGTAAGTGATGAACCTGTACTGGGAAGGCGGGCCATACGTGAGAAGAAGAATATGGAATGTTACGATGATGAGTCTGATATTGAAGATTATCGGGTACTTTCTTTTACAGTCAATTCTTCTCACTAAAAGACTTGCATTCAAGGATGGCAGCCAGAGTAACAGCAGTTATGATCTTTCTGAACTACGCCAGGCCTTGCTTGTGGATATGGCGGACAAGAGACCAGATCGCTTAACTTTTGGGAACGAGAATGTTTTGTATCACTATGTGCAGTTAGATGAGAAGGAGGGAATTCTTTTATGTCCATCAGATGCCCAAGTCTACTCCACTGCACTGGACATTATTTTGAATTCATTCCGAAAATGCGCGCAGGGTATTCACGATATATTTCAAAACACATTGCGGCTAAAAGTACTACATTTTTCTAAATAAAAATCATTTTACCAAAATTATTTTTTAGGAAATGCTTGCACAGGATGTTACGAAATGGGTTTTTAACAAAAGTCTTGTGGCAGTAAAAGAGTATGGAACGCTTTTTGAATGCAGTTTGGCTGATGATGCTAACAAAAAATATGATAAATTAACTTTTTGGGTTATCGGGTAAGATGTTACACACTTTTATGGTGGTTTCTATCTGCTTGCTTTCCCTATCACGGAGATTTTTGGTGTCGTAGTGTGCATCTTGGTTATTTTTAAGGTAAGTAAGTTAAAGAGATGTTTCCGTTTACCGTCGTGTATGATACAAAACTTTATTTTATGGCAGAAGTCATATAAATCATTATAAAACTTATGAAAATTCTGAAATTAATATAGACGTTAAAAATAGCAAGCTGATAGACTCTCTCGTGGTTTCCATAGAAACAATATTGTTATCTGTTCTGAATTTTATTTTATTTCATGCTCGCATCCCATTTTTAATAAGAATGACAGATGTCATTATTAGATTGCACAATAATGTGTTTTACTGTTTCTACCTTTGGCGTTAAAGTGATCACTATCTACTCTTAATGTTAAAAAAATTGAAAATGAGGTATATGCTATAGTAGTTGGTTACCAAAAATTTTGAGAAATTTGGTAATATTGATGATCATGTTGACTCTAATAATGAGTAGTTTAAAAAAAATACAGCACACACTATGTTTACTCACTTGCGATTTTATGGACACTACAACTTGTAGATTAGGAAATTGTGTTTGTGTGCAACAAAACCTGCATCTTTACAAGCTGAAGTTAGGAGTGTATTTGGAGAAATACTTTAGTTAAAATGGAATATTCACTCATCGTGTATGGTATGACCATGACTTTAACATCCATTTTAAGTTTGAAAAACTATTTTTTGTCTATTAATAAAAATAGGTAGGTAGCCTTTGATGGAAACTAGCTTCTTATCCTTCTCAATAACAATAACCTATGTTCTATGGCTATGCGTTCTACTTAACAACCACTCTAGTAATCTTAGTATTTGTAATTGTATACTTTTAAAACTTTCAACGGGCAATATCTTTTTTTCTATTAGGGATACCACAAAATGACCAAAATCGTTTCTGTAGGATGAAAAGGCAACCAAAATGACAATATAAGTAAGGCATCATCTTCAACCCTGTACTCCTCCCCTGCCCCATAGCTAAGTGCTTTAGTTTAATGCGGGTCGCCGTAACACTTTATAGGTGGCTATTGCGATCGTCATTTTTTGGACATGTTAAAATATCATCAAATGTCTACGTTTTTACATCATTTTAAGCAACTTTTAAAAAATAAAATTTTTCTGCGTCTGTATGTATGCATGTACGTTCGTAATTGTCCGAGGTAATGGCTCAACAGATTTTGTTCAAATTTTGGATATGTATATTAGGCATACTGAAACGAAAAATAACAAGTCGGATTTTTGAAAAAAAAATTTTGGAGCGCCGCAACGGCATCGAACTTTTTTTTCAAATAGCAACCTAAAATTTTTATTTAAGTTATTCGAAAGACGGGGGATACGAGGTTGAAGATGATGGTTCTTTATAAAAGTTGGTTCTCCCTCGAAACTATAGAAACACTTTTGGCCATTTTGTGAAATCTCTAATAGGAAAAAAATATCGCCAATTGAAAGTTTTGAAAGTGTCACCCTGTATAATGCATATGTAAAGTAATATACTTTATTTTCAGAAGGTTGTACTACATTCCACATCCACGCGAAGTTTACGTGTGTTATCAAGATTCTATACCACAAAATATTGTTGAAATTTCGTTTAAGTTGGGAACAATGACAGCATAATGTGTTTTAAGTTTAATCAAAGAGTATTAAATATATTATGCTCGCCAGGAGAGAATGCCGGTTTACAACTATATGGTTTAATATGAGATGGCGACAGCTGTCATTTATTTTCATAGACATATTAATATATTTTGAAATTGCAAAATGTCAAATAAATTTAATGCTCGCCAGGACAGGAGAGAATGCCAGTCACATAACATCTGATGCTGATTTACAATCGTATGGTTTGACATGAAAAACATACGATTGTAGACCGGCATCAGGTGTTCTGTGACCGGCATTCCTTCTTGGCGAGCATAATATAGGTATAAGGAAAAACTATTTTAGTCAAATGAGAGTTCAAGTTCATACAGTTTACAAAACGTATTGGTTTACGTTTATGTCTTTTCTCTTTCTACCACAGTATCTTATTCACTGTTTATTCGATGTACTGTGTCTCATGTGACTTCATTCACCTCATTGTAAACGTTTTGGATAGCTAGGTTCCTATAGTTCAATTGTGTCATAGAGGCATTCTCCCCTGGCGAGCATAATAAAGAGATTCAATGCATCAGTGGCGGGCCTAGACAAAAACATTTGCCAACTCACTGTAAAAATTTCCAGCTCAAACAGGTATTAGGTATTTAATAAGTGGTAGTACTTAGTATTAAATAAATAATTTGAAAACTTAACACTTTTCTTACAAAGTGTGAAAACTGATATACAAAAAGAGTAACAAAAAGTTATTGCACAAGAAGAATTCTCCAGTGTTTTTGAAGAGCGCCAATTTTCTAAGCGCATTTTCCAACGAATATGAGTGCGATAGTGCAGCCACTTTCTCAGACGGGCTGTCCGGGGTTTTAAGTATATATTTAGCTCGTTTCTCTTTTTTATTATTGGGTAGCGTATATAACTCTGGCACCTGAGCCAAGAAAAATCTTGACAATGAAGTTGCACATGCGCCACCTGTGCATTGCCAACTTTCCTATTTTTGTAGATATTTTTTAGAATTTATCTACAGATGCTTCTAGGAACATCGCACGTATTAAAAATGAGATGTGTGATGTGTAGACTGCGCAATGTCAATTTTTTCATATACAGAGATATTTTTTCAAATTTTAAGCACAGGTGCTTCTACTAGTAAACGGAAACATACGCATATAGTAACAATTAAATCTGCGCGTGCGCAGTCTGCTCAAAGTCAATTTTCTTATATGTATAGATATGAGTTTTTCAAATAATTTATTTTACTGTTCCTATGTTATAGGTAATTGATTTCGTATCTTTAATACTGATTCATTATCAGACCTTAACGTCGACTTGTCTTGCTGAGTAGTCCACGCAAACCGACGCGGACATGCGGACGCGGGAGCGGTACGGATGCGGGAAATAAAAAAAACCTTTACAAATAATTGAAAAAGATAGACTTGAACAATTTTTTCAATAATTTGTATTCTATACCCTATCATATTGTGATCCCTAGTATTGTGGTATGTAGACTGGTGGCAGATTGAGATAGCGGTGCTTATCATTTTACTATCCCATCAGCACAAAAGACGTATTTATGCAACCACGCGAAAGATATCCCATGCTGTCAGATCAAGTAATTCTGTAAGTAAAAACATCTATAATTGGTCCAATATTGTACATTTTTCTAGTGTAACTTTGTACTTTATTAGACACCGCGCTTCTATAAATTCAGAAGGCAGAATTTTGTCCGCAGAAGACATAGTATGCATTACGAGCGCGCTATTAGAACAATGGGTGATGGTATTGTGTGATTGTCATTTACCTACGGCCTTGGCGTAGGCGTAATCTGTACGTGCGACTGCTCTTTCTCGCCTTTAAATTAATAATATTCGCAAACAGTTCCTGAAAAATCTTTTGAACTGCCATATTTTTACCACCCGTACGCAATACGCATTGGGGTAAAAAATGTCCTCCCACTTTTTTGACGGAAATACACGTTTTGAAGCACCAGGAATGCGAATCAAGCAATGATGCCAGTCTCTGTCTGTTGATCCATCTGTACTCTCATTTCTGGGTAAACGGCTGAACCTATTGGAACCAAATTTGGTACACATATTCTTAGACATAAAAGGAAGAGCTGAAAAGCTTTTGGGCAGAATCGCCCATGTGCAAGTGTGTCAAACTTCCATTTCCGGCTAAACGGCTGAACCGATTGGAACCAGATTTGGTACACATGTTCTTAGATATAAAAGGACAGAATCGTATATGCACAGGTGTGCGGGCAAGCGCGTAGGTAAGGTGGTGGTTCACCACGGGGTTGGAATCCGCGATGGCGTCAACAACCGCTATTTACGGAAACTGTGACATTAAAAAATATACCCCCTGGCCCCTTGATCATGCAAAGGCACGCCACTTATCACAAATTAGACTGGTAGTCAACTTTTTATAATTGTGGATAGGTGCCATAAAAGAACTTGCAGAAATTGTAGTGTACAAACATTGGTACAAATTAGGTACAATTTAACATTCCATCTCTGCAATAAGAGTGCGTAATATCTCATAACTTCTTCTCATAATTTGATCTATTTAAATAAGTAAAGGAATGTGACGGTGTCATGGCAGGGGTAAACCTATTGAATAATCAGATAGTATCACAATTCGACAGAGTGTGGCAGCACTTATCAGTCACTTACATAGATATATAAATACATAGATACAGCCATACCCCAACATAGTTCAAAAGGACGTACCATCTATTACCATCACTTTCGACACATTAATTACGTATAGCGCTATCCTTTATAGAGGTACACTGAGCATGGAAGGCAAGATTCGCATTATTTATTATAACTGTCAATCAAATTGTTAGCACAAATCACACAGAAAATTATCAAATTTGAGACTTTACAACATAAATAAACCGCCTTTTTATTTATTTAAATTGCATAGCAGCAAAGAAATGTTACATTTAAAATGGAAGATGTTATTTAGAAAGCTGGCAAATGAAGAATTTGAAAAAATTACAGCTGACAACTGGAAGAAAGTGTGTGAACATGTGGAAAGTGATTAATTTAAAAGAGAAGTTATATTGGTTGATGTTTCTGAAGTTTATAATAAGTGTTAATAATGACAGTGATGATTCGGATTTGTCAATTTCATCTGATGATGATTCGGATTGTGAACTTTTACAAACGTAATGAATGTTGACTAAATGATTATTATCACCAATTGGATATCATTGTTAAGATGTTGTATTTATTTTAAATAAATGTACACGGCGTGTAGCTTACTTACTACAATTAGCACTATAATTTCAAAAAGAAACCCCACCGATTGTACAACATATGCCGAAAGGGAGGCAAGACGCGTAGCGACCAAAATTTGATATTGCACGCACACACAGTCTATAAATCTCGTTTTCCTAAGAATATTGCACGGATCCTTCTTTGTGATCATGATACAAACGCACTGCATCAACATCATATAGGCCAAAATGATAATTGGAAACGAATTCACTTCCTGTCGCAACTTAATCTCCGTTACCAATACGCCTAAAACCATGCAATTAAAATTAAAATGTTGAACATAAACTTTACTTACGGTTTTTTTGGTATTCTGTAAGCCAGCAATGAATTCACTGCAGCACATCATGCCAAACAAGGTAAACATAGTCCCAAATTTGAATGGCGTAGCTCTATGTAATAAAACTATTTCAGGAATAACAATTATGGACGCGTCTATCATTATGGCAAGCACTAATGTTATTCGTATTCCATTGATAACGCAATAATTACATAATATTTAGTGAATAAACCGGCCATTTAGTTAGATTTGATTTCGCGCGATCGTGAAATGTGTCAACTGTCACATGACTTATGGGACGCGCTAAGTTTGTTTTAAGCGTCCGATTCGCGTACGACATAGAAGTTAATGCAATAAAAAGAGATAGAACATGTTTCTTCTTGGTTAGAAAGTAATGGAGAGATGTACAAATTTCTTTGATATGTTTTTTAAAAACCGAGGTACGTTTGTTAAGGATGGCTGTATCTAGGTATTTATATATCTATGGTCACTTACAATGAATAAAGAATACTTGGGTGGAACAATATAAATGAATAAACAAAGCTATAGGGTAGTTTTACTGTTTTGGTATTTGCATTTGATTATAGTGTGTATAATGAATGGTTTTGGTAAAAAGAATCAGCTACATACTTTGCATGGATCACCCTGTTAATAATTTATTCTGTGGTAGTTCTAAATTTGCATCCTTGAAGGGGTTATGTCAAGCATAATAATACAACTCTGTGGATAAGTGCACAGTAATGTTCTGTGGATAAGTGTTTATTTACTATTTCGATGTTGAGCATTGCCCAAGTAACCACAGGTGATTCAGTTATGGATATTTTGGTATCAAACAAATATATTTCACTTAATTAAAAACTTATTTTTAGATTCGAAAAACTTTTGAGAATTTTAAATCGTTTTTTACATTTAAAAAGGTAAGTCTTAAGTTTACTTGAATCAAATTTTATTATTATGAATCATTTGTTTTTCTTAAAAATGTACTAATATCTAACTTTCTTTGTTTTTCTTTAGGCAGATGAGGAGGAAGCATCTTATCTTCCTTCATTTCTAAGAGAAGAATATATAGAATTAGATACTGAAACTGAAAATGGTTTATTTGTATGCAATATGCACATCCCCGAAGAAATACTTCTTCATATTTTGAGCTTCGTAGACCCCAAAGTACTTTTGAGATATAGCATAGTATGCAAAAAATGGAATCTCTTAATCAAATCATTTCCTTTATGGTCCATAATTTATAGAAGAAAGTTCCAACGCAAGCCTAAGAAGTTGCCGTGGTATATATTTTATTGTCGCTTTTCCACAGAGTATTTTGATATAAATTTACTGAAAAATGGAAGTGGTCAAGATTCTTTCAATAATTGGGCACTTAGAGAAAATGGGGGGGATAAATTCATTATCGAAGATCCTCCAGATGGTGCAGATCCTTTAAACGTAGAGGAACCGGAATTTGAAAATAAAACAAGCTGTTTTGTAACGTCCTACAGTAATTGTAAAAAAATTCAAGTAGTGAAATTTGGTCAAAGTAAATTGTTTCGATACATTTTGTCAAACTACAAGCCTCATATGTACCTAAGCGAATGGACATGTGGGAGATTTGATTGTGGTAGTTTGTATAGATTGCGTTGCAGTTACTTGGGAATAATTCCTGATGTTACAATTGCAAAACCGTCTGCTGGACAGACAGTTAAGCAATGGGAAGGACGAAAGTGGAATAAAGTTAGTAACTTGCTTTGTAGGTGAACTTTTCTAAAAACTTAATTTTAGATAGAAATCTTGATTACGCAGTATCCTGAGGGCATTGAAGGAATTTTATTTGAGCATGAAGGTCGTGACACCCAATTTTGGACCGGTCATTATGGCAGTAAAATGGCAGGTGGCATGGTAAAATTGTTGTTTGATTCAATCGATCCATTGCCATTGAATAACCTTGGTCAGAAACAGCCAAAACGGTTTACTAAAACAGAATACATAACTAATGGAGAGAATTTAGATAACTATTTTATGGACATAATTGATATTGAAAGAATTCGTCCTGTTTGCATATTTCCTCCTCCTATTCGTAACATAAGAGAAGCTTTTGATTGATATTTTTGTAATATGTCTAATCAAATGTTTCATTCATTTTAATGCAGCAAAAGCTTTAAGCAAATTAAAAAAGATTAGTTACTTACATATGGTATATGACATGTGTAAATGAATTGTTCGCTTACTATGAATTTTATAAATATTTCTAATATTTTCTTGTATTGTACCGGGTGTTTTTAAATGGAATAGCCCAGTTTCAAGGTTTACCTAATGCGTTTATTTTTTGATTCAAAATTACTTAATTATTTATCAAACGGAAGAGGAACTCAGTGTTTCCTATATCTTTCGTTAGAGAGCGCTAGTTGGTCGCCATGAACGAGATGGCAATGGTTGTTCGGCATGGCCTTGACGTTGATCCAATCTGAAGCAATGCAGTTTTTATGAAGGGTTTCATAACGATTAAAAAACAAAATTGATACAGTTCCTGCATTAATTACTGCAGATACTCGCCAAGGAAATTGGCTGTTGGCTGGATGTGTGGCGGGTGAATAATGGTGCTCATAATGAAATCTCGTAGGTAAAACCAAAAAAGTTTTTTAGCCGTTGACGAACCTATATGTCTTTAATTAAAAATTTTCAAGGAGTGGAAAACTTTTTGTTTTTGCAGACGTTTGCTTTCAATACAAAATAGACAAACAGTTTGTGAAAAGTTATGAATAGTTTCTACATTATATACAAAAAATTACCTAAAAAACAAGATGTTTACTTTCTTTCTATTTTTTTTGTTGTTGCATCACAAATTTAGTTGCAAACCTTAGATTTAAGGTTTCAGCAGCCCAACAAATGTATCCAATGCAAGAAATCAAATCTATCCAACTACTAAGGACTTTTTTGTGAACATCTTTTTTTTGTATAAATTGACTATATTATTGTCATTTGTGGTAATAGGAAATATACACGGTGTCCATTTTTCGAGTGCCACTATGGGGATCTCGCTTATCTTAAGAGTTAGAAAGTTGGTTAAATGGGGGCAAAGTTGAGAATTTCCGTGAGTAACAATCTGAAAAGGAATTTAAAATATTTTCAATAGTTTTGAAAATATCGCAAAAAAACGAAAGTTTCTGATTTTCGTTTTTAATTTTTTTTATGATAGATCGTACTAGACATTTCTAATTAACACATTCAGGCACTTTTTCATTGAGATTTCGAATATGGCATCCCGTTTTTAATAACTTCCAAGATGATGGAGAAACACGTGGCAACTTTAGTTTTTCTTATGGGCACCATTTTGAATTTTGAGATTACGTTTTTTTCTCTTTACAACGATATATCACACATGGTGGTTCAGTATCACATTTTTCCTAAAAATACAATTTTCGTTTTTTTAAAAGAGTGCTTTGGAAAAACATAATTTTTTGTTGTAAACAAAAGTTTGACAGTTGAGGCGTTTGGGAAATATGAATTGCCCAATGCCGATATTTGTGTTTTTTAAGAGTTCTCCAAATAACTTGATGGGATGGCAAATTCAGCTGGGGTGCAACTTCTCTTGAGACAGATCGATTGTTTTGCACCTAATTAACATTTACCTATTAAATTATGAATAGATTAGTATTTGGAATCATGTCAACTTTTTACTGCTTGCAAAATTGTTTGTTCATATTCATTGGTATCACCATGTTGCTGTCTAGTTTTTATTCAGCAAAGAAAAATACCTCAAACTAGGTTGTTGCCGCTCTGGATAACGCTGCAAGTATGTTGCAGCAGCCATGTGGGCATTTCGATGCCAAGTGTAGTAAGTTTGGATTATATCTCTTTTGTTCTGCACTTGAAAAAAGCATTTTCGCAATAAAACTAGCAACTTTGACGTCACTTCATTTGATTGAACTACTATTGTACTGAGATTTGACATCTCTCTTTTGGCTTCAATTTGGGTTTCGATTTCGGTTTCGATAAACCAAATTAAAAAACACCGCTTCCGATATAATCAGATCCCTACTTTAGATCACCTTTAGATGCGCAGTGAACAAGTGCGCGGTTAGTTGACTTGCAGATGTGTTGCATATTGACTCCCTCGGTACTGCGCAAACGCAAGCGCGCTTAAATTTGAATTTGCGTAAAACTGTACGTTTAAGGTGTAAATGATAAACATAACCTGCAAACGTTATAATTGAAGAAAATTTAGTTTACCTGCTTACCTATTGTAAGTAGGTGTAGTAGGTATATGTTAATGCCATGTTATCAAGATGAATTTTGTTGTTATCTACATTTCAAGTACATGGCTATGAATTCCTAGAATATGCCAAAGGCGATAGGAAGAAACTGTTTCCAGATCTCCCGGTATATAGCCTATCGAGCATGTTTGGGACATTATGAAGAGAAGACTGATGAACTTACCGCATCCTCCGCAGACGCTGCAAGCTCTACACAATGAATTACATGTTGCTTCAGTTGCTTGGGACACTATAATATCTCAAGAGGAAATCGGCCGTCTGCTAAAATCGATCCCTCGTGTAGAGTGAGGGAGTGTGTACCCAATAGGCGGGAACGAACCCATTATTATTAAAAATATGTTTATATTTCGTTCTTTTTCTTTTAAATTTTAATCAACCTTTTAGTAGTTAAACATTTCTGCCAAGTTTGGTAAAAAAATTCCAGCTCTTTCTTGGTGCTGCAATTTCCAAGTCACTGAGTATACTTTGCATGGATCACTCTGATGTTAATAATTTATTCTGTGGTAGTTCTAAATTTGCATCCTTGAAGACTTGCGTCTCTGCTTCACCGTGACTCCTCGCCACTGCGGAACCGAAAGCGCGCTAGAATTTGAATTTGCGTTGAACTGCAAGGGCATCGAGTAATTAAATATGAATCCTTCACTCACCGATAAATTTCAAGAAATATGTGAACTGCTGGATTGTAGAAAAAATCTTGTGTATACGTAATTCGAGCGCACATTGATTGTCGATTTCAAGAGATTGCCGCGCTCCTTCGTCGCGCGTCAACTGTCTCTTTCAATCGACAATATATCATTTTGCGCTCTTAATACACAAATAGCTATTGCGCATCACGTCATCGGTTGACAACAAAATTTTAGCAGCGCCGTGGATCGATTTGAAACAGCAAACACGCACCCATTCATCACAAACAGATTTAAGGTCAGTGATGGAATTCGTCGGTCGCGCTGAGGCCGTGCAAAGAGAATCGCATGGAAACGCCAGGAATAAATCAGCGGTAGGTAACAACGATTTCGAAAATCCGCCGTTGTACTGTTTTTAAAAATACATCCGATGTACGTGTAGTCAAGGGGTTTAATAAATCATTCCTATGTAAGATTTTAAAGGTATTTTTATTTTTTTGGTTTTTTGAATTTTTTTTACACAAAATCAAATACGTAACCTTTTTTTGTTCTAATTCTTATATGTGGCTATACAAGCAATAAAAATAAGATATATGTCCCATGCGCAAAAATGCTGTAGACCGGTGTTTTGATAAGCAATTTAAAAAAAAGAAAGAAAAATATAATTATAACCAATGCTAGTACATAGTGAAAAATCAAAGAATTATAGAGTAGTTTTGGTATCGGCACTAAAAAATCTCACATTTTGCATGAGTCACCCTGTTGTTAATCATTTATTCTGTGGTGGTTAAAATATTGGAAGGTGATATGTCGAGGATTGCCGAAGTGAGCAGCTGATCAATCTAAATGTGATTAAAAATTAAAAAATAACTAAATGAGAATATTGCACCATATTGGGAATATCATTTTTTAAATTGAAAATGGTAAGTCACAAGAATGCTTACTTGAATAAAATTTTATATTATGAATCATTTGTGTTTCTTAAAAGTGCAATAATACTTGATTTCATTTGTTTTTCTTTAGAGTGATATGGAGGTAGCGTCTTATCTTCCTTTATTTCTAAGAGAAGAATATACAGAAGTAGATACTGAAAATGGTTTATTTTTATGCAATATGCACATCCCTGAAGAAATACTTCTTCATATTTTGAGCTTCGTAGACCCCAAAGTACTTTTGAGATATAGCATAGTATGCAAAAAATGGAATCTCTTAATCAAATCATTTCCTTTATGGTCGATAATTTATAGAAGAAAGTTCCAACGCAAGCCTAAGAAGTTGCCGTGGTATATATTTTATTGTCGCTTTTCCACAGAGTATTTTGATATAAATTTACTGAAAAATGGAAGTGGTCAAGATTCATTCAATAATTGGGAAATTATAGAAAATGGGGGAGATAAATTCGTCGTTGAAGATCCTCCAGATGGTGCAGATGCTTTAAACATAGAGGAACCGGAATTTGAAAATAAAACAAGCTGTTTTGCAACATCGTACGGTAATTGTAAAAAAATTCAAGTAGTGAAATTTGGTCAAAGTAAATTGTTTCGATACATTTTGTCAAACTACAAGCCTCATATTTATTTAAGCGAATGGACATGTGGTAGGTTCGATTGTGGTAGTTTGTATAGATTGCGTTGCAGTTACTTGGGAATAATTCCTGATGTTACAATTGCAAAACCGTCTGCTGGACAGACAGTTAAGCAATGGGAAGGACGAAAGTGGAATAAAGTTAGTAACTTGCTTTGTAGGTGAAGTTTTTCTAAAAACCTTATTTTAGATAGAAATCTTGATTACACAGTATCCTGAGGGAGTTGAAGGAATTTCATTTGAGCATGATGGTCGTGATACCCAATTTTGGGCCGGTCATTATGGCAGTAAAATGGCAGGTGGTGTGGTAAAATTGTTGTTTGATTCGATCGATCCATTGCCATTGAATAATCTTGGTCAGAAACAACCAAAACGATTTAGTAAAACAGAATACAAAACTAATGGAGAGAATTTAGATAATTATTTTATGGAAATTGAAATTGAAAGAATTCGTCCTATTTGCAGATATCCGCCCCATGTTAGGCGTAATATACGCGAGGCTTATCAATAATATTTGTAATCAAATTTTTTGTAGAAAAAGGTATTAAAGTTAATTGTTGTGTGTGTGTAAGGAGCCCCAGATCCATCAGTGCCTAAAAATCATGTACAATATTTAAGTGATAATTAATCATTATTTAGATATTGAATATGAATAAATGAATTGTTGATGGATTGCTGTGAATTTTATAAATATTTTTACTTTCTTTTATTGTACAGTAATGTGTTTTATGAATATCAGAAGTTTAATCGTTCACAATGTTTTTATTTTTTGACTCGCATTACAAATTATATAACAAACGAAAGAGGAACTGAAACATGTGACTAAGTTAAATTCAAGTTTTTTATTAAAGAAATTCGATTGTTCATGTACATTGCTTGTGTCAAATGTCACTCAAAATGTTTTTCTTTTAATTTTGAACTTATTTTGAGTTTTTTTTAAACATACATACTTAAACATAACCCTTTTTGAAATTAGGTTTTTTTTTTCTTTTAGATCTCATTTGCATCATCTAAAAGAACAGAAAGAGTTCCCTAAAGAAAGTTTTTTTTAGTTTTTAAATATCTCTCCAAGTAACGATTTTAAACCCAAAAATCAAAAATGTTAAGAATAGCGGTACGCATGCGTGCCTTTATATGACGCCCAGCATAACCATACCTTTTTTTGTTTTGATTTTGTTACGTCTACAATGCATGTGGAGAACAGAAAAAGTAACTTACAGCATTATGGCCGTCGCGTACTTCCGCGGTGCGGCGTAGCGCTTTTTCGCTCACAATCTTGCATTGTCAAGACTCAAGAGCATTCAACCATTGTATATTATTCAACCCCCCTATTGTTTATTGAATGCAGCCATCATTCAATTTTATGACATGTTCTTTTTTTGTTGACTCTATTCTTTGGTTAACCTGCAAATTTTTAACCTTGCATTGTTTTTAAAACACGGAAAAGAAAACCAAGCATAATTTTAATTTCTACGAGTCCATAATAAAGGAAATGCCAGAAGAAACAGAGGTTGAACAATTAGAAAAAGAGATTGAAGTGCTGAAACAAGAATTGAAACAAAAAGAGGCACGACTACAGTTACTAAAAAGTGTTAAAAAGGTAAACTGATTGTTTAAACTAATTCATTCTCAGATATGTTTTAGCAAATCGTTAAGCATTATAGCAACCATTTTACAACAGATGAAATAACTAGGTATAGTCGTCAAATGCTTGTACCTGCAATTGGGGTTGCAGGTCAAAATGCCTTAAAACAAAGCAACGTGTTGATTGTAGGGGCGGGTGGTTTGGGATGCCCAGCAGCTTTGTATTTAGTGGCGGCAGGCGTGGGTAATGCATGTACTTCACTGCTGTCACATCCATGTATGATGTATCGTAGGTCACCTTACAATAGTTGATAATGATGAAGTTGAATTGACAAATTTACACAGACAAATTTTGCATACTGAAGCTGATGTTGGAGTACCGAAGGTTGAGTCTGCACTGGGAAAATTATCAAAGTTGGTATCTTACTTTACTTTCCTTTAAAAACCAAATGCTTGCAGCATTAATAGCAACGTAAAGGTTAACCCGTTGCATCTGCATGTAAACTCTGAATCTTTAATGGGATTACTGACCAAGGAAAACTTTGATGTTGTTATAGATTGTACAGATAATGTTCCAACACGTTACTTGCTAAATGACGCCTGCGTTTTAAAAAAAATTCCTCTGGTATCCGGGAGCGCATTACAGCTGGAGGGGCAACTAACTGTATACAACTACAAAAATGGACCATGCTATCGGTGTTTATTCCCAGTCCCTCCTGCACCAGATTCTGTGACTAGTTGTGGAGATGGAGGTGTTGTGGGCATTGGTATATCAGAAATGCGTACAAATTTGAGAGTTATAATTCGGTGTGACAGTTCCAGGTGTTATAGGGTCCTTACAAGCATTAGAAACAGTTAAAATAATTGCTGATACATCAGGAGTTCTAAATGGGCGTTTATTACTATTTGATGGTTCCAATACTACATTCCGTAATGTTAAACTACGAAATAAAAATTTGGATTGTCAAGTTTGTGGGTCTCATCCGAGCATTACAAAACTGATTGATTATGAACAGTTTTGTGGTACACGGGCGCACGATAAGGTTAATATTGATTCTTCTACACGTCTTCGCATTTTTAAAAATTAATTTGGGACTTTTCATGCGTAATTTGGGCTAATTACGAATAATATATTTGTTGTATGTATGCACTACTGGTCATATGTACATATCAAATTTGGGGAGTAGTTTCCACATTTCATTGAGATTGATGGTTTATTATTAATTTATTATTCTAGGTGATAAATATTGAGATTCTGAGCAATAGTGAATGCATGAATGTTATTCAATTCAGTAAAGTATATGAACAAGCCCCTATTGTGATTGATGTACGACCATCTGTGGAGTATGAAATGTGCCATTTGACTAATTCCATTAACATACCATATCAGGATATTGAAAAAGATGAACATCTTGATTTTTTAAAAGAGTTACTTGCTATACATAGTGGTGAAAAGGATGGTGAGGAGGAATTTTTGAAAGTTAATTAATAAAGGTAATCTTTGTAATTGTAGTATACGTTCTCTGCAGGCGAGGGAATGATTCACAACGAGCAGTCGTCAAATTGAGGGATCAGTTCAGGGATAGTAACTTTACTTTTTTGAACATTACAGGAGGCCTACATTCGTTTGCAAAGCAAGTGGACCCAGCATTTCCAATATATTGATTAGTTCTAATAAAATTGTAACTATGTTGAAGCTATCAGTATTTTTTTTCATTTTTATGATGAAACTAGCATTGGCTTATAAAACTAAAGGCCCCTTGATTTATCATTGCGGTTTTGCATTAATTGTTCTGAAATGGAAATTATTGTTAAAAAAATTTGATTTTTGCTCTGATTCTAGGGCGGGAGTGGGCAATTGGGGTGAATTGTTATTGTAGCATTTGTAGCAACAGCAACAAAATGCATTGTTACAAATGCTATAAAACTAAGAAAAATATATAAGATCCTTCACTTGTATATAAAGGGTGGTATACGCTTTGATTTAAGTTTTGTTCTTGCTTAAGTTAACAAGTGCATGACCACCGCGACTACAAAACTCAAATTTGGTACGAAGATAGATTATGACTTAGGGAAGTCATTAATTTTGGGTTGTGGAAGGGGGGGGGGGGGTTTAACCCATTAATTGTAAGTAAAATAGAATTTTACTTTACCGCTGTAATGTTCAGGGGTCTCCCAAGCCGGCAATGCAATTTTGACTTACCCAATATTTACTTACAGTTGGCAACTTGGAAAAAATAATATAAGCAGAGCCATCTAACTTTCATGTCTAAACGACGGACATTTCCTTTATTCATTGGACATTTCGCACTTACGTGCTTAAAGAAGCAAAGAGTGAGGAGTGATAATAATGATCGTAATGTGAAGCCCACATTTGTACCTGTGAAACTCGTATGTTTTTTGGCTATCACTTCCGTGCGCTACAATGTACCATTGTCCAATAATGTTTTTAATCGCACATTTCGAGACTTAAAGGATCTCATAATCACGAAAATAAAAATTTGGCTCCGAAAATATGGCCGCCCCAGGCTTCAACGCCTTGATAGGATATTATCAGTCCCCTTTCTTTCATAGTCTAAGCTCAAGGTTATTTTATTTTAAAACAACCTTGGTCTAAGCTTACCTACGTGTAATAAATAGAAAGAGAGAACTTGCATTAAAAGGGAACGTGACGGAAATGGATCAAAAGGAGGTTATAAGAATGGAATGGGGGGAGGGGGGGGTGCTATGCTATTTCTCACCACCGTTATAATCTCTTTATTTTTTGGTCTGTGGCTTAGACTATGGAAGAAAGGGGACTGATAATATCCTATCAAGATTCAAGCGCAATGCTGTGCTTTGAGGCAAATTTTCGTGTGGTGGCCATGTTCTCGGTGCAAAAAAACGGTTTACTTTATGCCATATACAGGGTGTCCATTTGAAAACTTCCCACCACGGATTTATCAAAAACCACTGATTAACGGAAAAAACGCCGAGACACGTCAAAAGATTTGGCAAGGGGGACAACTTTTTATCCAAAAACTACTTCACCCTCTGCCGCCCAGGGTCAAGGTGGTATCGAGTATTATCGAGTAATAGTTTGTTTGAAAGATCTTTCGAAGTCCATTATTTTGACGTTTGATTTTTTAAAATCGGTCGATTCGTTTTCGAGTGGGTCTCGATTTATGGCATTATTATGCCAGGTCGAACAGCTAATCAATAAAAACTTGGTGACCGGATTGCCGGTCGCGAAGTGTAACGTTTCGGCCAAAAGTGTATTAGTGCGAACCAAGCATCGTTGGTAAACAAACACGTCAACTCTTCTCGGCGTTTGAGGGTAAACGGTCGTCGCGAGTTTTGGAAGTCATACTCTCGGATGTATGCGGGTCGATTACACCGGTTGGTCGAAACCAGTCGAAACGGAAAGTGGTATTTTGTGAGGTTCACGGATGACTGAAGTCATTTCGTCATGGTGTACTTACCAAATGCGGAAAAAAGCAAGCATTACGAGGCAGTGGTGTCGGCGGTCAGCGTAGATTTCTAGATTTAAATGGGATAATGGCGGGGAATACCAAAACATGGTGTTTTATGGGATTGTGTCGTCAGAAGGGATTGCAAATTGAGTCCCCTGTACTGTATAGGTACCTCCGAGCAGAATGGTACCAGCGAGACGATGAACCGCACCCTGGGTGGATTAGTGATTGGGGCGTTGTGGCTTCAGCCAGCTGAAGATGGGGAACCAGGACGATACAAAACGAGGCTGGTCGCCAGAGGATTTATCCAGAAGTGAGGTTTTGGTTATTCGGAGACGTATTCCCAGGTGGCGCGGCTGCAGCAGTTTTTGCGCTTGGAAATCATGAAGGAATGGCCGTCCATCAAATGAACGTTAAGGCGGTTTTTCAGAAGAAATATTCATGTGTAAGCTAGAACAAGGCTTCGTGAAGAAGGAAGGCCTAGTCTTCCGTTTTAATCTCTCGCTTTATGGACTGAAAAAAACTTCACGACAACGGAATGAACGCCTTCAACACGTTCGTGTAGAGGATGGGTTTCAGCCGCAGTGCTAAGGACCTCTGTGATCCCTGTCATATACGTTGATGACGTGCTTGTTCGGATTGTGAAAGCGTGCCTTGCGAAGGAGTTTGAAATGACTGACCTGATGAGTGAAGTCCAAAATTTTGTAGGAATAAAGATCGAAAGAGACAAGTCGAAGAAAGTTATGCGTATGATTCAGCGCCGTTAGCTGCCATCAGATCGCTACGTCGCACCGATGAAGAATCGATTCAAGCTGGCGAAAGGACAGGAGTTCAAGAGGTATCAGGAACTAGTGTAGGCTGCAGCATGTACCTGCCGCTTACGCCCCGGCCGGATTTGGCAGATTACCGTCAATTATTCCAGCCAGTCCCAGGCCTGCCCAAACGAAGAGCACTGGGTGTCGATACTAGAACTTTACACGGATGTTGATTAGACCAATGATATTGTGGATCGCCGTTTGTGAGTAGGAACCTACCCTCTTCCGACAATCCATTCTTGAGGTATAAGGGAATATACCCAATCACGGTAAGAGGTCGAGGAGGAGGGCTATGGTTGGTAGAAATTAATTGCTTTCGTTGAGACTTTTCATTAGAGTACCATGAAGGATAAAACTAGTTCCCCCCCCCCCCCCCCCTACTATGATAAGAGGACAGAAGAAGAGCAGTAGTTGAGACCTGTAATTAGACCCCCCCCCCCCCGGGCCCCATCGCTCACTGATCTCGAAAAAGAGTCGCACGGGAAAGTGCCATTTCCTAAACTTTAACTTAGCACCACTAAGGGCATGCGTATGCAAAATCTGAGACCAGTTGGTTTTCGTATGTAAAAGCTATGCACGTTTTACTTTCAAAAACAGCATCTGAGGGGGGGCCCCTTTTAGACAGCGAAATTTGATGGCCGTCTGGCACACCTTCAATTAAGGTATCTAGGCTGCCTACTGCAAAAAAATCCAGGACTCTAGGACCATTCCCATAGAAGTAGGTACCTAGTTCAAAACGGTAGAAGTGGGTCCGGACGAACAAAACGTAAACAATAGCACATTTTTTTTAATTCTTAAAAAATGCGCTAATAAATGGTTTATACATAACACGACCATCAGAGAAGTTTCTAGGAGAAACTTCACAAACTATTAAATCAGCAAAAAATGAGCATCAATGTGAAACTCATTAATATAGTCCAGTCAAATTAGCGCAATTTTGGACAAATAAAAACATTAATCGGTAAAGATCTGAATTTTGGTATACACATTTATTGGGACTTTCTATTGAACATACTAAAAGTCCCTGTCAAAATCTGTTGCGCTCGAAGAACGGTACACTTTTCCAGTTTTTTGCCCATGTCTCGGCAACTATTACTGATACGAAGAAATAGTTTACATGAAAAATATAGTTTACTAAATTCCCTATAAAAAAGAGTATTTACATTTTTTTTGTATCTCCCATACTTTAGCTGTAATCTCACGTTGAATGCGTCAGAAAGCGTTTAGGCCCCGCATCGTAGTTATAGGAAGGAGGCCGTCTTTTTTATGGCTACACCGAAAGCTGTAAAAGCACCAAAAAATGAACAGAATCGTCTTGCGATAAAGCATTCTAGCAATGACATAATGTTTCATGATACGACATCATGTTTTTTTTCAAAAAGGTAAGCGAAAATGATTAAAATTGTTGGGGCCACGAAATGATTTCTGAAGCTGGAGAACGCCGTTCTCTGCATACAACGTGCCTGCTAATGAGAGATATTTAAACCGACATCGTTATCAGACCTGCAGAAAATACGCATACAAGGGTCAGCCGAATCTAACCGCACTGTTACCCCCTACGGCTGCAGCGGCGCAGCAACACACGTTTCGTATTAATCAGCAAGTTCAGAAGGTTTGTGGATATGAAAAATCTCCCGAACTGTGGAGTTGAAGGAGAGTCCACGATTTCCTTGACCCTGTTCGGTCACTGAAGGCTTCCAGTCCACACTCAGTGCTTAACTGCTCACATTGAAGATGAAAGTTCTATTGAGAGAGAGAGAGAGAGAGTTTTATGAGAAACCTTTAAACGTGTCTCATACCAAGCTTGAGTGCGACGACTTCTCATATATAAGAAATACTGGCACAGTTTTCAATAAATTTAATGATTTGTAAAAAGTTGTAAAAAAATATCTGCGCGCCTGTTTCGAGAGCTCAGGATACTTGATTCCCTATTCGATGTCGGATTATAGCTAAAGTATTGGGCATACAAAAAAATGTTAATGTGCTTTTTTATGGGCAATTTAATAAACTATATTTTTTATCTGAGCTATTTTTCCGTGTCAATAATTGTTGCCGATATACAGGCAAGAAACTGAACAAGTGCTCCTTTTTTCCAAGATGGTGCCTCGAGCGCAACAGATTTTGACGGGGACTTTTAGTATGTCCAATGGGGAACACTAATGAACATGTTTACCAAAATTCAGATCTTTACCAATTAATGTTTTTATTTTTTCTTATTTGACTGGACTAATATTGGAATGTTCAATTTTGGAAATGTCCATGCTTACTATACTATCGTCTATCAATAGTTTGTACCTGTAATAACCACAGTTTAAGAAAAAAGGTTTACATTGGTAGGTATAGGTACTACTTAAAATCGTTAATTTTTATAAATAACAAAAATGACAATTAAATACATATAGGAACAATTAAAAAGAGTACAGTTTGTAGTGTGATTCGGCATTTTAAAAACCAGTAACACCACAAAAAGTTTTGGCCATTTCTTCATTTTACTGCACAATGATCTAGTCAGGGTTAGAGATAGAGCAGTCTTCTTTATTTCTTCCTATACTAGGAATATTTGCCAGTACCCCATTTTTGGTTTTATTCTGCACGTTAACTAAAACAGAATTTCCATATCTCACGATAGAAGAACCAGCTCCGATAAACCGACCCATGATAGTTTTAGATGGCACCTTATCCGATAATTTGGGATTGTTTTGTATTTGTAGGAACTTCAGGATTTCTCTATTAAACAAGTCTGGATTCTCTTGATGTGGAAAATGGCCGGTTCCTTCTATTACTCTTAATAGGAACTTTTCGCAATACTCCGTTGATCTGATCACGCCTTCTAAATTGATGTTGTGATTTTTGTCTCCTTGTACCAGTAGCGTTTTAACCTTGATTTGATCCGTGGATTTACAAACGCGAATGTATGGTAAATTGCGATAGTAGTTCATCGGCCCGGTCCAGTCTTCCATACGCGAAAATGAGTATTTGTATGCTTCTAAGTAGTCATCTTTTTGATATAAATGCTTGTGACTTACTGTTAATATTTTGAGATCATCTAGAAGTGCGTCCATTTCCGGTAAATAAGGTAGTTGAACAAAATCCACCCAATTTGAATTGAAAATGTACTGCGGAGTAAGCGTTTTCCAGTAGACATTCGGATGAGGACAAGATACAGCTATAAATTTATCCACAAGCTCTGGCGAATCGTGTACTAAAAACCATCCTAGCAAGCCTCCCAAGTCATGGCCAATTATTGAACATTCCGAAATTCCCAATGTTTTTATAAATGCTTTCAGTTCTTGTAATATCCTCTTCAGCTTATAACTTCTGCGCCACAATGGTTTTTCCGAATCGCCAAAACCTTTCAGATCTAAAGCTATCACATGAAAGTGCGTGGACAAAATTGGCAATTGATACCTCCAACTAATCCAAAAATCTGGAAATCCATGTAATAGTAGTACAACTGGCAAATTGTGCTGTCCTGCCTCTACGTAGTGAAATTTCGTGTGCTAAAAGAAAAACGTAATTAGGTATTATCTCATATTAGGTTAATGAACGATCATACTCGTATTTGAAGTGGTTAATTTTGAAAGCCGGGCATACGGTAACTAGTAAGTGATTTGACTAGTAATGATTTACTATTGCTTTTTGAATTTTTAAATACTAAATACAGTCGAACATAAAAATATCTGCGAGTTGACTGTGCTGCCCGTTTTGCATGTCTTCAGATGAATTAATTTTTGAATTCTGGATGCAAGTAAGTACGATGAATGTATAATGATAAAAGGAGCTTTTTGCTGAAGTTTTGGGGTGTTTGCGTTACAATTATTAATGAAGCAATTTAAAAAGTTAGATAATTGTCCAATTTAAGTATAGATTCACTTTGACGTGTTGGTGTTGCTTAGCTTTAAGGTGCAAACTGGAAACCAAATCGTTATAGGAAGGTCCTATGGTTTTTGTGAACATGGCATGATGAAAATGATTCAAGGCGCCATTTACTCCGCTACATCGATTATCTGATAATTTTGATAATAAATCTCATACAGTTTTTGGACACTTTATTCCGTCATCACTTTATTATTACCATAGCATTTTTATACACTATACGATTCCCAAGGTAAACAAATACACTAGTCCACCAATAAAGGGATGCACTCAAAGAAGTTTTCAAAAATATATTTACCTGAATTTTGACGTATTTATGGTGACCAAATGTAGCGTCAACTAAACAGGCCGGTTGTTTATTCAGAGGAGCGCTCACTGCTGAATTCGGATAGCAGACTTTCTTGAAGAAATATTTGCACATTACCCAAAGCCCGACACCTATCGACCGTATTACCATCCATAATTTATCACATAACGAAATTGATTCCGTACGAAAATTGCCTTTCATTTTAATTGGTGTACCGGTATAACAGTAAGTAATATCAAAAAGTTGATTACTAACATAGTCAGTCTTTGATGAGATGCGAAGTAAAACTAAATTGAATATTATATAAGGGCGAAGGTTAACATCAGGAGATAACGGACGATATGAGGGTCCCCTCATCGTCATATAGATGACAAAAGCCACGTTTTAGATGCGATAATTGTGGAGTAGGTATGGGTGCAATGCAAGAGATAAAAAGTTTGTTCAACGAGAATTTTAATATTTATAGTGACTGTACTATCATGAACATAAGTAATGACCACATCATCGCTTGGATTTAACTATCGCTCTTGGCTTTTTTCCATTTATTCCCACGTTATTGCTTATGAAATTTACGAAAATCATTATTAAAGCTAGGTAACCCATTACGTTAATCTCTGCTTTTTACCGTTACTGATTTATACGTAGTCCATATGAAGACGTTTCAGAATATTCAACATTTGGAGTTCTAATCATGTTTCAGTTCGAATTTAAGTTAATTAATTGCTGTATATGATTAGCACAACGAGATTAACTCAAAATAATACAAAGTATTAACACGATAAGCAAATCAGTTTCATCACAGTGTGACGCTTTTCTACGGTATGGACACATTTTAAAACTTCATTTACCACACATCAACAACTGCTAAAACTGCTTAATGATTATTGACTTTATTGATACCTCTGGAAAGCAGTAGCTCTCCAACGATGTGACACAAGTATGGGGTTGCCATTTAGGGTTTTTGAAGAGGGGGGGGGG